CCAAGGAGCAGCCCGACGGGGAAGAGGCAGGAAAGTAGGACACACTGAATGAATGAAAGGTAAAAAGCTCCAAAGCAAAACATAGATGAAGAGAAACAGGTTAAATTAAGTAATAAGAGGCAGTGGGACAAGCATAACATAAGGCCAAGCATTCATACATAACTAATAAGTCTCTGTGTCATGATTTGGGAGCTAATGGTTTAAGAAAGCCTACTATAGTACAACACAATGATTACAGTCTGAACCACACAGTGAGGTGAGCCTGCACTATACAGTGAGACCATGTCTCAAAATTTCATAAAGCAAGCCCAGCATGGTAGAACACACCTTCAATTCCAGCACTCCGGAGACAAAGCCAGGTAGATCTCTGTGAGCTCAAGGTCATCCAGAGCTACAGAGAAACCCTGCTTCAAAAAAACAAATTCAGATGTCTTTGTCTTCTTACTAAGTACTGCTCCAAAATAAACACTTTCTCTTTCTGCATTCTGGCAAGGGTAGTTCAAGTGCCAATAACCCAAGGCTAGGGATATGGCTTAGTGGTCAAAGTGCTTACTAGAATGCACAAAGCCCTGAATTGCATCCCAGAAACACATAAATGAAGTGTGGTGGCATACGCATGTAATCCTAGCACTCAGGAAGTAAAGGAGAATCAGGAGTTCAAGGTAATCCTTCATTATATAGTCTGAAGCCCAGTTTTGGGCTGAAGATCCTGGCTTTAAATAAATAAATAGACAAATAAATAAGATTGGCCATGCCTGGCTCCAAATAAATAAGTAAAATAAGCCATGCTTCTGAAACAGCACAAAAATAATCATTAAAAATTAGGTAACACGGAGCCAGGTGGTGGTGGCTCACATCTTTAGTCCCAGCACTCGGGAGGCAGAGGCAAGCACTCTGTGAGTTCGAGCCAGCCTGATCTACAATAGCTAGTTCCACGACAGCCTCCAAAGCCACAGAGAAACCCTGTCTCAAAAAACCAAAAAAAAAAAAAAAAAAAAAAAAAAAAAAAAAAAAAAGTAACACAGCCAGGCAATTGTGGAGCACACCTACTCCTAGCATTAGGGAGGCAGAGACAGGTGGATCTCTGTGAATTCAAGGTCAGCCTACTCTACAGAGTGAGTTCAAGGACAGCCAGGGTCATCAAACAGAGAAACCCTATATTCAAAAGAAAAAGAATTGGTAAGACAAACACCCTCCATTCCTTCCTGAAATGGCTGGCTTTAGATTGACTGTGTTGTCTATGCCTTTGTGCTCTCTCTAAACAGAATCTCCTTCCCTGTTACCCACTTTACCTTTGAGACTCCAAATATCATCCTTATCCTTCTTAGACTCATTCCAAATCTAAATTAAAAGACCTTCTTTGCATTCCTACTGCACCCACTATTACTTTACATTCTAAGACTTAGTATACTGTCCTGGATTGCTTGTCTGTTTCCTTCCCTGAACCATATAATTCAGAAAGCAAAGACAAAAATCTCACTTTTTTTTTTTTTTTTTGAGGGTGTTTGTGTGTGTGTGTGAGACAGAGAGAGGATAGGGAGTGGTTGGTCTGAGAAAAAGTCTTACAGCAGCACCATGCAATGCTCCTCACCTCACCTTCCCAGTGAAATTATAGGGTGCACCATCGCCACCTGGCTTCACTTCTCAGATTCCAGTGTGTAGGATACATCAAGCTCTTAGTGATTATTTACTGAGTGGATATGATGACTTTCATGGTAAAATATCTTGACTTTACTATGACTTTTTCCCCTTGTTTTTCTGAGACAGGATTTCACACTATACCCAGACTAGCCTCAAACTCTTTATCTTCCTGCCTCTCTTTCCCCAGTACTGGGAATACAGGTATAAACTCCCATTCCCAGCTCCCTTTTGTGACTTTTGTAATGTATTTTCCCTAATAAACAAAATGAATTTAGAACAGTATTAAAATTATTGGCATGGAAACCTATCTCCAGATGATAGCAAAAATTAAAAAAAAAAAAAAAAAAAACATCCCCCACTTGTTAAAGGGAATAGAGAATTGGCGGCTGGAGAGGTGGCTCAGTAGTTAGGAGCATTGGCTGCTCTTTCAGAGGGCCCAGGTTCCTAGCATCCATATGGTAGCTCACAACCATCTGTAACTGCAATTCAGGTGACTGGTGCCCTCTTCTGGCCTCCACCAGTAACAGACACATGTGTAGTACATAGACATACATGCAGGCAAAAACATCCAAACATATAAAAATTAATTTTTTTAATCTTTTGAAACAGATTTCTCTTTTGTAGCCCTGCTGTCCTGGAACTAACTCCATACACCTGGCTAAACATAAACTCAGAGATCTGCCTACCTCTGCTTCCTGAGTGCCAGAATTAAAGGTATGCACTATCACAGCCACAAGCCAGCCCTAATACTAATAATAAAAAAAAAAAAAAAAAAAATTCCAACATCAACCCAGGAGTTGTCATGCCAGTTGGTCCCCATACTTATTGACTGGAGGTCTGACAGACAGACTCCCATATACTAATATACATTATTATAAAAGATGTTCCAGCCGGGAAGTGGTGGCACACAACTTTAGTCCCAGCACTTGGGCAGCAGAGGCAGCCGGATATCTGTGAGTTTGAGGCCAGCCTTGTCTACAAGAGCTTGTTCCAGGACAGCCTCCAAAGCCACAGAGAAACCCTGTCTCAAAAAAAAAAAAAAAGAAAGAAAGAAAGAAAGAAAGAAAGAAAGAAAGAAAGAAAGAAAGAAAGAAAGAAAGAAAGAAAGAAAGAAAGGGGCTGGAGAGATCGCTCAGAGGTTAAGAGCACTGCCTGCTCTTCCAGAGGTCCTGAGTTCAATTCCCAGCAACCCACATGGTGGCTCACAATCATCCGTTATGAGATCTGGTGCCCTCTTCTGGTGTGCAGATATACATGGAAGCAGAATGTTGTATACATAATAAATAAAATCTTAAAAAAAAAAAAAGAAAAGAAAAAGGGAAAAAAAAAGAAAGATGATCCAACACCTTCTGGCTTCTGCACTGTACACATGTGGTATGCATACAACAAAAAGCAGGCATACATATATACACACAAAAAGTAGTAGTAATAATAAAATTTAAGTTTTTTAGGGATTACAGAGATGGTTCAGTGGTTAATAGTGTATATATATTATACTGTTTGTTAACAGAAAACACATGGACAACCATGTTTTCTTCTTTCTGCCTTATTTGAGCATTTTCCTTCCCTTCCCTTCCTTAATTTTTATCTTTTGTACCTACATTGTGTCCGAATCTTTCCCTTAAGTTCCCTCACACACCCATCCACATACCTTACCATTTGGGTTATCTGTGAGCATCATTTTATCCAATAGGGAGAACTTAGGCCAAGAACATTACTATAATTCCTGCTAACTTCTGCATGACAATAATATCTTTCTTGTGTCTATCAGGGAATCAGCAAGTGATGTCCTAAGAGAAAACAGGGTCACCAGGACAAACTAATTACTACAGGACATGTTTCTAGGCTGTATTTTCTCAGTTTATTTTCTTTATTTGGGGTTTGGGTGGGGCATTGAAAGGATCAAACCCAGGACCACGGCACTTCAGGCAGGGACTCCACCACTGAGCTACATGCCCCAGCCCTACTATAATTATTTTATTAATGTTATGTATATATGCGAATACCACATGTATTTAAGTGCTCAGTTGCCTGAGGAGGCCAGAAATGGGCATCAGATCCCCAAGAGGTGTAATTACAGGCAGTTGTAAGATGCCCGTGGGAGATAGGACAGTCGGTAGGCACAATTAACTGCTGAGCCATTTCTTCAGACCTTAATAATTTTTATTTTATTTTTCGGCCAGATGTGGTAGCACACATCTTTAATTCCAGCACTCCACAGGCAGAGAGGTAGGCAGATCTCTGAGTTCAAGGGCAGCCTGATCTGCAAAGCCAAGACCCTGTCTGAAAAAATACAAAAAGGAAGCTAGAGAAATGGCTCAGGGATTAAGAGCACTTTCTGCTCTTACAGAGGACCCAAGTTCAATTCCCAGCACCCACAATGCACAGCTCACAGCCTCTCATAAATCCAGTTCCAGGAGACCGGCCCAACACCTTCTGGCTTGGCAGGCACTGAACAAGTGTGGTGTGCATACAGCAAGCAGGCATTCATATACACACAAAAATAATAATTTTTTTTTTAATTTTAGGGACTACAGAAATGGCTCAGTGGTTAATAGTATATATTATTCTTCCAGAGTACCTGAATTCAAGCCCAGCATCCATTATCAGTCAGTAGATAACTGCCTATAACTTTAGCTTCTGGGGATCCAGTAACTTATTCTGGCCTCTGTGAGCACTACACTCATGTGTACAAACTAACACAGATATACATAATCAAAACAAAACAAAACAAAAGGTCTTTTTAGGGGTAATTTTATTTTAAGTGTGTGTGGGCAGGTATGTATACATGAATGTTATTTTTTTTTTTTAAAGTAAAATACAGGATAGAGAAATGGCTCCATGGTTAAAAACACTTTTGCTCTATCTGAGGACCAGAGCTTAGATCCTAGCACCCACTTTGAAAGGCTCATAAAAGACACACACACACACACACACACACACACACACACACACAGAGGCCTGAGGTAATTCAAGTAGATGGGGGGGGGTCTTCTGAGTTTACAGTGTTACTTTTCTACTGTGTCAAAGTCATAGCCACAGACATAAACAAAAGGAACAATCTACAACAGGAGCCAAAAGACTTTCCTCAAGTTCTAACAAGCTGTCTAACCTTTAGCAAGTCTTTTCCCACCTACAGATAGCTCTTCTGTGAAAAGCACATTTAATAACAGTTGAGGGCAAGGTTGTCTGTGATATTAAATAATGTAGAATCACTGTGAATGGGTTTATGTACCGTGTCAAGATAAGCTAAGAGGGAAAAAAAATTCATCCTCTGAATGGAGCATAAATCCTGTGGGTTAATTTACAAAGTCTAGGCCTGACTCACCTTCCCAGACTCATTAAGCCCCTTAACCAACCTGTAGTCACTTGAATTTGGGAAGAATCATGGGTGAGATATAGGGGACTCTCCGTTCCATTTTTCCATTATCTCAGTAGCTTCATGGGTGGCTCCTCCGAACATGGAATGTGGGTCTAAAGGGAATAAAGAATTTGCTGAATGTTAGGTAAAAATTCCCCCTTCCCCAAAAGGTTAAACAAGCAAGGTCATCAAACAGTACCACACCAGGACAAAAATCAGAAAAGAGCTTGGAGATTAGTTGGCCTTTTGTTTTATAGATGGGAGCACTTAAACCCAGGAAGGACACAGATCTGGGTAATTAACATCCTCTTCTGGCCTCATCAGGCACTTCACAAACTGGGTGCATATACACACATGTATGCAAAAACACACATAAAATGAAAATATTAAAAATAACTTTCAAAAAAATGATGAGCCGGGCGGTGGTGGCGAACACTTTAATCCTAGCACTGGAGTCAGAGGCAGGAGGATCTTTATGAGTTCCAGACCAGCCTGGTCTACAAGAGCTAGTTCCAGGACAGCCTCCAAAGCCACAGAGACACCCTGTCTCAAAAAAAACAAAAACAAAAAAAAGATGAAATTAGTCTGGTGTTGATAGTAGTGGTGCACACCTTTAATCCCAGCACTTGGGAGGCAGGAGCAGGCGGATCTCTGTGAGTTTGAAGCCAGCCTGGTCTACAGAGTTAGTTCCAGGAGGGAAACCCGGTGTGGAAAAATACAAAAACAAACAAACCAAAAATAAAAACCAAACAAACAGAGGAAATATATTTATAAATATATACAATTAATTCATGATTATTATAAAATACATATAAATATACAAGTAGAAATTTTAACCACATCAGGCTTTTCATCCTGAATCTGCCTATTTTAAGTCTTTCCTGCCTCAGTAGTCTTATTATATATTGAGTTTGTTTTGTTTTTTTCAAGACAGGGTTTCTCTGTGTAGCCCTGGCCGTTCTGGAATTCACTCTCTATACCAGGCTGGCCTCAAACTCACAGATCTAACTGCCTCTGCCTCCCCGGTGCTGGGACTAAAGGCGTGCACCACCACTGCCCAGCTCTTTTTATAAATTTTATTTTATGTGTATGGGTATTTTTGACTGAATGTATGTCTGTGTGTCACTTACATGCCTGGTTCCTCCAGACACCAGAAAAGGGGTGTCAGATCCCCTAGAATTAGAGCTAACAAATTGTGAGCCACCACATGGGTTCAGAGAATTGAACACAGGTACCCTGGAAGAGGTACTCTTAACTGTTAAGCCAGGTCTCCAGCCTGAGCTAATAGCTTTAAAAGTGGAAAATTCAGAACCAGAATTTTCTCAATTAGGACACTTCCTCATTATATTTAATTTCATTCTTTTATTACCTAATTTTGGTTTTTGGTTTGTTTTGAGACAGATCCATAACTGTCCTGGTGCTCACTATGTAAGCCAGGAAGGCCTCAAACTCAAAGATCCTCCTGCCTCTGCCTCCAGAGTGCTGAGATTAAAGGTTTAGACCACCAAGCCTCCCTCTATTGCCTGACTTTTTAGTGCTTATTAATATTTTAAATTCCTTTAATCTACTCTGTCACCATTCAAGAAGAGACACCCAGCAAAATCCATCTGTAGTTTAGAGGTTCAACATATAGCTTCTCAACTCAAATGGCCTAGACTGAAGTCCTTTACCTCTGTAAAATGGAAATATTACCACTCTCTTCAAGTTCTGAGAGATTAAACATGTGCATCTGTCATAACCTACTTATGGGCTTTAATTACTTTAGTTATAATGGCTCTTATTTTCTTTGAATATAAAGAAACAGGCAGAAATTTCCAGAATATTCCAAGTAGTAATGATATTTTATAATAGTTTTGTTATATATGTGTGTGCCTATGTGAGTGATATAAACTTATTTCTTTGACAGGCGGTAGTGGCACACACGTTTAATCCCAGTGCCTCAGGGGGGCAGAGGCAGGTGGAGCTCAAGGCCAGCCTGGTCTACAGAGTAAATCCCAAGACAGTCAGAGCTACACAGAGAAACCCTGAGTCAAAAAACCAAAAAGAAATTTTTTTCAATGCTTCCCTTTTCAAAATGTGATAAGCATTGAATTAAAGCACCCAATAATGCTTGTAAGTGCCTAGCACACACTTCATGCTATCTATTATTGTCATTGCTGATATTGTGTACCTATAAAGCTGTTTGCACAATTAAGTAAAATAATGTTAATCTGGAATGTTTGACACATCATCTCACTGTAAATCCAAACACAAAGCTCTTCTCTCCCTGATGCCCACAGTCAAAGGCACTTAGGTGCATGTTTGTTGCTTGGCACACTACCAGTTACATTGAGGAGTCCACAGATTATGAAGGATTGGAGCCAGGCAAAATCACTTATTTTATCTGCTAAGGTATTGGGATGGGGAAGCCAGAAAACCACCACAAGAGTAACTGAGGAAAGTGAGCCATACAGAAAATGCTTGCTCCCCTGAAGCCACGTAGATAAAGATATGCCAGAGGAGGCCAGGTTAGCAGATACTTGAACTTTTGGACAAGACTCAATCACTTCCATTTCCAGTCCTCATCCAGAGGCTTCTTAAATAATATTTGAGCCTAAACGTCACTAATGTTAGAATAAAGCTTGAGTGGGGGTCCATGCAGACGAGGATAACAGGGGGGGGGGGGGGGGTGTGCGAGAGGGAGAAAAGGGGGGGGGGGGGGGAGACACGACATCTGGGACAGGACAAACATGCCAGACAGAAAGAGCTTAGTGAGTAGTTTTATTAGAAAGGGAATTTCGGGGAAGAAAGAGAAAAGAGTTAAGACACACAGAGAGGACAGAAGAGAAGAGGGACACAGGAAATGTCCTGTCTGCCCCAGGGGAACTTCAGGAAGGCAGAGGAAAGAGAGAGCATAAGTGGACTGGGGTCTTTCTTTTAAAGGGGACCTTTGCACCACACAACGCAATCATGGAACCCTGGGCTGACCACGGTACTGTCTGAGTGCACTCTGCCAGGCGGCAGGGGCAGGCCAGCATCATGTCTGAATCCTTACAACTAACACCAGAAAAAACTGGAAGGCACTAAACACACAAGTAGGGGCTATCGATTCAGCAATTGGTTATCTTTTAAAAATGACATGCTGGCTGGCAGTGGTGGCCCAAGCCTTCAAACCTTTAATCCCAGAACCTGGGAGGCAGAGGTAGAAGGAAGGATCTCTATGAGTTCTAGGCCAGCCTGGTCTACAGAGGTAGTTCCAGGACATCCAGGCCTACACAAAGAAACCCTGTCTTCAAAAACCAAAATAAATATAAATAAAATGACTAGCTCGCCAGCAGTAGTGACACAGGCCTTTAACCCCAGAACTGGAAGGCAGAGACAGGTTCAATCTCTGAGTTCAAGGTCAGCCTGGTCTACAAGAGTGAGCTCCAGCTGGGTGTTGGTGGGGCATGCCTTTAATCCCAGCCCTCAGGGAAGCAGAGGCAGGCGGATTTCTGCAAGTTCTAGGCCAGCCTGGTCTACAAGAGCTAGTTCCAGGACATCCTCCAAAGCCACAGAGAAACCCTGTCTCGAAAAACAAAAGAAAAAACAAAAACAAAACAAAACAAAACAGTGAGCTCCAGGACAATCCTATGGGGGGGGGGCACCGAAAACAGCATTTAAATTCTTTCTTTTTGAAACAAGGTCTTGCTATGTAGCCGGTTGGTCTCAGAAATCTACCTGTTTCTGACTCCCCAGTGCTAGTTGAAAGGTTATCATGTCCTGTAACATTTACATTCTATAATCCTGCCAGTGGGAAGTTATTCTTTTGTTTAGAACGAAGAAAAGAGAAATGCTGAGACATAAGACATGTTGACTATTTTATGATAAAGGCAGAGAAGAGTAGGGAGACTAAGAGAAGAGGAACAGGGGTAAATGGCTGACCGCCATGGCCAGTCGCCAGAGAGACAGACAGGGGGGGGGGGGGGGAGAGAGAGAAAGCAGAGAGCATAAAGGGGTCCTCTGCACCTGCGTGCACTTAGTTCCCATGGTAACAGACTTAGTTCCACCAGGTAACAGGGGCAGGCCAGCATAATGCCTGAACCTTTCAGGTAGCATATGCCTATTAATTCCAGTATCTAAAAGGATGAGACAGGAGGATCCAGAGATCAGGGTAAGCTGGGCTTCATAGTGACTTTGCACTGAAAAACACACGGGCTGAGAATGTGGAGTTTGGCAAATTTAAGACCCTATGTCTTAAGACCCTCCAGCTCTGCAAAAAAATAAAAAAATAAAAAAACAACTGATTTAAATAAAAAATCTGCAACAGGTGCTCACCAGTAAGGAAATCAGAAGGATATGGATTCCATTCGCCATAATCTCTCTGCGTTTGTCTTACTCTGTTGGGGGGTAAAAAAAAAAAAAAAAAAAAAAAAGAGAGAGAAAGAGAAATAAATGCCCACTTCACATCAGGGGACTGTGATTAAAAAAAAAAAAATGTAGTGAAATGTTTAGAATGGAATCTGAATTGACCTACAATCACCATCGGTTCCTCTTGACTATCAAAGTGGACATAACTGCGAACTTGCGGGTCACTGGACAGTGGAATGAGTCACTGGCATTCTAATGGCTTAACTATAAAATTTTTAATCACTTAACACCACAACCTGTTCAAGGTCTAGAAAAACAGATGCCTGGGTACTTGGCTAGGTGCTGCAAACACACCTGCCGGCCGTTATCCAATTTAGGGAAAAAAAAAAAAAAAAAAAAAAACTCAACGTTAGGCCTGCCTTCTAGTTATTCACACGCCCAACAAAGGAGGCGGAGGACGTAGATTTCTGCCCACAAACTCCCAAAAGCGGCCTGCCATTTCCTCCTGACCGGACGTGGGGAAGGATTGAGAATGATCAGACACCACGTTCTAGAGCTTTCGGACCCACCCCAATTTCTCGTTGGCGACACGTGTCGCCATTTTGTTGGGAAACATGGCTGCCGGCCTTCCCCACTGTGGGGATGAAAGGGGGCGGAGGAGCGCCGGGTTAGCCCTTTCTCTGAGGCATTAAACACATTCGCACGACCTCCTCTAGTCTGGCCATGCCCCTGGGGCCGGGAGAGGGCAAGGCAGCGTCTCGATGGCCATTTCCCGGCGTGAGGAACTCGGT